ATCTACCGAGACGGAAAGGAACCAGAGTTAGATCTGAAAAACTGATGTGCGAAAAGTACGGTGCTGAAAATCACATCAACCGGGAAGAAATTATCCTGGCCAACCCCTGCACTTCGGGGAAAGAGTAAAACTTTGAAGAACGCTGAATTAACATGGCGTGCATAATTTTTCTTTTCAGCTCATATGGCCAAACTAACGTCACTGCTGCTGTTGGTCACACTAGCGTTGGTTCTACTAACGCTCACCGAAGTTCAAGGTCGCAGTCGCAAGGACAAATCCTGGCATAAGAGACTCCGAGACAATGAGAAAAGCGAACATCACAAGAAGAAGCAGAAGGATGAAGGGAAAGGCCTGAGCAGACATCGGTAAGATATGAAGCTGTTTCCTTCTTCTTCTATTACTTCTTTTTTCCATGTCCTCTTGCGGTAATTCGGGTGTCCGGGGAGATACGAGGTTCTAGTTTTTGCTCTCTGACAACCTCGACGATACACGCCTTGTACTGTTGCAACAGGGGCTGCGTGGTCTCGAGGCAAGGCGTCCGCCTCGAGTGCTGGGGGTTCCGGGTTCAAGCCCCGGGGAATGCTGGGTTTTTTCACGTGGACTTCTAGTAATTTTCCCTGGTTTTAAGGTAGTAAGATCAAACGCCCACGTGTATCGTTGCCCACGTAAGAAAATCCCTTGGCAATTGGAAATCGAGAAAGGGTAGCCTAACGGCGCTGACTGGTCAAAATTTGGAGTTAAAAATCTACCCAAAGTGTTTCAGGATCCTCGCTAGTGCTACGGAGTTTGTGCACTGCACTAAAATTCTCCGAAAAATACACACGGGCGTCCGGTCTTACTACCCAGAGACCAGGGGAAATTATTAGAAGTCCACTTAAAAAATCCCAGCCTTCACAGAGGCTTGAACCCGGGACCTCTAGCCACCATGCATCGAGACCACGCAGCCCCCTTGTTTGTCCTATTTTGCTAATAATGCATGTTCTTACATTGCGGCTGTTCAGGTAAAACAGGAAGTTTTTTTTTTTTTGGGGGGGGGGGGGGGATCATTGTTGAGCTTGTACTTCGATTATTAAGGATTCACTTATTTGCTTCATATATGACATTGTTACTGTAGCATGCACCTGAAGAGCACACCCTTCTCTAATTTAATTATTAATCTATAAATCTGGAGATACAGCGAAATATGCCAGTGCAATCTGTTGTTTGTGTCTTCTTTGTTCAAATAATAAAATATATTACGTCTTTCAGGTAAATCTACTAAGAATTATTTTTGGCCAGCTTTATGGCGTCAGTTTCAAACTTGAACCCTTACTACAACCCAAACCCATAATTAATATGGAGGTCATCATTATCAAGTGCCTTGCTGACCTGCGTGAGCGACCATGCCTTTCCATTATCTGCGATCTGCAACTGCATGTATCAGTTTGTGTGTTGACACCACTCCATGCCATGACAAAAGACTGTCAACAATCTTCTCAAGCTGTCTTCCTCTGTCTCTCTTTTCACAAATATGTCTAGTGGTTACAACATGTTCCATTTTCCCTCTCCTTATAACATGACCAAACAATGACGATTAATGTAGAATAGAGAATAGAATAGATAGGTAGATGCCTTAAAAAAGCTGTCAGAGTAAACAAAAAGGTACATTTAAAAATGAATAAATTAGAAAAGACAATGACTGAAACCAATCATACAGTTCATTAAAATGAGATGGTTTGGCCATCTTTCTTTCTTTTTTTTTTTTTTTTTTTTTTTTTTTTTTTTGTTGTTGTTGTTCACCAGCTGTAAACTCTGGCAGAAAGTTCTGATTGTTCATTCGTTTTTGGACTGCACTCCCGTTCCAGAACTTGAGTTTTGTGTGTGCATCCGTTTTACAGATCTGAATCATTTGTATGCAGACTGTTGGTTCCTTGCCTCACAAGCAGATGCACTCCAACTTCGAAGAAAGCTCCCAATTAGTCCACTCTTACGACATGCTTTTTGGTAGGCAGTGGGTCTATTCTTGTTTTCCCTATAATAGGGCTCTGGAACCCACACGGGGAGTTTGACCATATGACAAGGTTACCTTAGTGCCAACTGCCCCAGAGAGCCTCGCTGAAGAAAATTTATAGGTATATAAATAATGAACCCAGAGCAAGGAAATGGCCACGCAAACGATGGTATGATTACATAACAAAAGAAGTAAGGATCAGTGTATATAGAGCTTTGGAAAGACTGCACAGAAGAAATCCCCCCTCCACCAACCCTTTCCATAATTAGATCAAATAACTGAAAGACGAAGGAAGAAGACATAACACATCTTTCATCTGAGGTCATCCTTGTGTCTTTTTACTTAAGATTATTTCCACACACACAAATAATAAATAACTGAAATCTGACCCTATTCTGGCAGCAACCCCTGGACTGACCTGTGGGCTTCCTACCATGACATGGATCCCCTGTCATTCTTCAACTTCCGTTGGAACTGGGATTCCATCCGCGAGGACCCCTGGTGGCACGGGTAAGTCTCCACAAACTGTCAGTGTCAGTTAGTCTTCTGCTGCGTTTGTTGGTAATTAAGTGATTGGTCTGTCTACCTCAGAGAAGGCATGTCTGACCAGCAATAGATTACATTATTTCTTCTGTCTCTGTCTGTCTGACTGTCTGTTTTACTCTCATTTACAAACCCAATAACACATCTATATCTATCTATCTATCTATCTATCTATCTATCTATCTATCTATCTATCTATCTATCTATCTATCTATCTATCTATCTATCTATCTATCTATCTATCTATCTATCTATCTATCTATCTATCTATCTATCTATCTATCTATCTATCTATCTATCTATCTATCTATCTATCTATCTATCTATCTATCTATCTATCTGTCTGTCTGTCTGTCTGTCTGTCTGTCTGTCTGTCTGTCTGTCTGTCTGTCTGTCTGTCTGTCTGTCTGTCTGTCTGTCTGTCTGTCTGTCTGTCTGTCTGTCTGTCTGTCTGTCTGTCTGTCTGTCTGTCTGTCTGTCTGTCTGTCTGTCTGTCTGTCTGTCTGTCTGTCTGTCTGTCTGTCTGTCTGTCTGTCTGTCTGTCTGTCTGTCTGTCTGTCTGTCTGTCTGTCTGTCCTGTCTGTCTGTCTGTCTGTCTGTCTGTCTGTCTGTCTGTCTGTCTGTCTGTCTGTCTGTCTGTCTGTCTGTCTGTCTGTCTGTCTGTCTGTCTGTCTGTCTGTCTGTCTGTCTGTCTGTCTGTCTGTCTGTCTGTCTGTCTGTCTGTCTGAACGCCCCTGCGCATAGATCATTTTGTAGCCAATCATACTTATACAGATGAATCAGAACACGATACCTGAGACGATTGCTATAACATGCAACACATTTACCTCCCAAGAAATTTCATGGTAGTCCATTTAGATCAACCAATGAGGCAATGTTGATCACAAATATGCGCATGGAAGCGAATACGACGAAGAACGGTATAGCCTCACCAGAAATACAGGAACCAAATTGGAAGTCGGCAGGCAAATTCAAGCTGACTCCGTGAGAGCCTTTCTGAAGGCCTAAATAATTGCTTTCAGTCGCGCCCTAATGCAGACAGACATTCAGATATGTTTTTTTTTTCTTCAACACACAAGGGCGACGTCCGTAGCTTAGGCGTTACGAGTCTGACTCGTAATTCCAACGTACCTCGATTGAAACCCACTGTTGGCTGTGTGGATTTTTATCATGGTATGGTGCGTTGCAGGTCGACCCAGCCTAAAATGGGTACCAGGATGGAAGTCCTGGGGAAGTAAAAACGGCCAGCGTAATGCTGACCACATTACCCACCTAAAGCCGACTGGTCTGTGAAAATTTCGGTGCTCTTCCCACTTGCCCGATGGGCCTAAGGGCCTAGAGAGAGAGAGAGAGAGAGAGAGAGATAGATAGAGAGAGAGAGAGAGAGAGAGAGAGCAGTAAGAGAAGACACTTGGCGAATTTTTGTCATGACATAGAAGTTGCTAGTACACTAAGTTATGCATGCTGCTGGAAATCGTACGATGTAAAAGAGGATAACTTTACTTCAACACACAGAACTGTGTCTTCATATTGATTGTCCTCTATCGCTGTGCAAACTCTTATTTAGTCCCGTAATGTCAGAATCGGATTAAGATTTGACTAAACTCTAAACTCTAAGCTGTATAAAGTTCCGAGACCCCCATGATTTAAACTTGACTAAGCTCTAAACTCTAAGCTGTATAAAGTTCCGAGACCCCTATGATTTAGACTTGACTAAGCTCTAAACTCTAAGCTATATAAAGTTCCGAGATCCCTATGGTTTCAAATTACACCAGTAATTCTCGGAAAAATTAAAAATATATCAGTTTATAAAAGGCAGAAGTTGATGCATATCGAGTTTATTATTTTATTCAATTTAAATAGGCTAAAACAAGTTAGAAAAAATAAAACCTTGAAATAATATACCCCCCCAAAAAAATTATTAATATTTCAAAATTCTTGGGGAAATTCTCTTCACATATCATCATCATCATCAGGTGCCTTGCCGACTGGCATGGGCGATCATGCCTCTCCATAATCTGCGATCTCCTGCAGCATGTATCAGTTCGTGTGCCCACACACCTCCATGCCATGCAACAAGACTTTCAGGCATCTTCTCTCGTTACGTTGTCTTCCTTTATCCCTCCTTTTACGGATCTTTCCAGTGGTCACAAAATGTTCTATTTTCCCTCTTCTCATAACATGAAAAGGGGGGGGGGTCGCCGTGGCCGAGCGACTAGACGCTTGCCGCGGATCGGAAGGTCGTGGGTTCGCTCCCTGGCGGAGCCGGACTAATTTCAAAAATGACCTTGGCTCCCAGGTCGACCCAGCCTTGAGTAGGTACCGGGTGCAGTCCTGGGAAGTAGAGGCGGCCGGCGTGATGCTGATCACATCACCCATCTTGTGCCGATTGGTCTATAAAAATATAGGTCTAGCCCTATATGCCCTATACGCCTAAAGGCGTGGAAAAGGGTCCTTTACTGTATTTTTTTTGCATAACATGACCGAAAAATGATGATTGTCTCCTTCTGATGTCTGTGATAAGTTGTCTTCGGGCTCCCGCCTCTTTCAAAACCTCTTGGTTGCTCTTTTTGGCTGTTCAAGGTATTCTAAGCATTCTTCTGTAAAACCACATCTTTGGTGCCTCAACTTCACATATATTAGGAGAAAATTGCGTTTGTGGGGAGAAAATAATCTATCATGTTGGTCTTAATCCGGATTAGGATTTCTTTGTATCTGGAGTTAGTAAATTTGAAGAAAGCGGAACGGCAGAGGGGGGCAAATCGATCGAACATTCCATGAGTGGCAGCGGCCTATACGGTCCACTATTATAAGAAACTGTTATCCTTTCACATTTAAGGGTGCCATGTCTTTAATTTTAGATTAAATCAAAATAGAAAAAGATATTCCTCAGCTAGATAGAAGAACATTGCACAAGTAGAGTCTTGAATTATGCATATCCATACATTGTAGTTTAAAAAATAAAATTATCAGTACAGTATGGAATTGGGAAGATTTTACTAAAACTCAAAAATAGAAGGGAGAAAAAAAATTATCACATTACTACCAAGCAGAGATAGTTATTTGTCTCGAAAATTGCATCAGAGTTTATATTGCCAACGAGAATTAAACAGACGCATACATAATTATATACAAAGAGAAACATGAAAAAGAACGTTGTTAAGAGAGGCCAAAGGATGGAATGGAAGACTAGACGGCAAACCAAGGTTGACGTATAATATCACCTGGATTATGACGATGATAATGTATAACTGCAACCACTTGCAATCGACTGCTTCTGTTCTAGTATGTTCTTGTCTAAATTATGCCATTCGACAATCCCGTCTCGGTATTTGTCATAAAAGTTCCCCTTTATCCTATCTCTTTAAGATGTCAAAAGAAGACAGAGAAAGGCGTAGATAGAGAAAGGATAGACGCTCATCTCTTGTAACTGCTTCTTCCATTAAAGATGAACTGCAGTTCAAGCGTTGGAATGTCCGTTTTGGCACTTCTGATGACCGTCTTATGAAATAATGCATGTGTGTACTACTGGTTGTCTGAGACTATAGTATGTGTCAATTTGTTTCGAAAGAGATAATTATGGGAATATTGTGAGGATTTCGCTGGCATAGCTACCATGGGATGAGAGAGAGAGAGAGAGAGAGAGAGAGAGAGAGAGAGAGAGAGAGAGAGAGAGAGAGAGAGAGAGAGAGAGAGAGAGCAGTAAGAGAAGACACTTTGCGAATTTTTGTCATGGCATAGAAGTTGCTAGTACACGAAATTATGCATGCTGCTGGAAATCGTACGATGTACAAGAGGATAACATGCCACGCCAGTCGTCGATGTATATAATCATGATGATGAATAGAATGCTTCACACACACGCTGGTCTGAAATGTGTTCTCTGTTACTCCAAGTTCTGTTTTATATTGCACAAAACATAAGCCCTCACCAACTGATGCTAAACGCATTGAAGACTTATTTTTTGGCCTGAAAACACACAGAAAAACGAGTGCAAAGCTGACCATCTATCCTTTAGTTCTACTTATGTACTTAATGCGAAGGGCTCTCAAAATAAAAAAGAAGAGATAATATCAGAAACGATGATATCCGAAGGAAAATAGGGGTAACAGCAGCTCTGGGTTTCACAAGAAGACAACAGATGAAATGGTTTGGCCATATAACGCGGATATCAGGAGACAGTATACCACAACAAGCAGTGATACGCAGACAAAATAAAAGGGGGGGGGGGCGAAGAAGAGGACGACCATGCAAGCAATGGACAAAGGGAATTACAAAGTCCCTGTGAATCCCTATTTACGAAGCACAGACATAACAGGCGCTTTCCAGCAAATTATACTTCGCCTTGACAACACAAGGTACAAGAGGGTCAAGATGAGATGAAATGATGAGATGTAAATACAAATGAACTTCCTTTTCAGAGGGAGCCGAGATAGGTGCAGATGTTAACCGTTTGCCTGAATGTCTTGAGTTCGAACTCCTATCAAACATAATGACCGAAGTAAGATCCCCAGATCGATCCGGCCAAAATTACTTCTCGCAAATGCCCTGCAACGTGATACTGACGACATCCGTAATCGAGTTCCTATTTGCCAGTAACAGTAAAAAATAGAAATCTGGGTCTAGTATCATATGTCAAATGTCCCAATGGCATGGAAAGAACCCTTTACAAACTCTTAGTTTGCCAGAACCAGCCGTGTATCTGGTTCGCTTGCCTCCCATTTACATGTCAAAAACGTGTGTTTATTTTTAGCTTATGTTAGAAGCGTTAATGAGGTTTTCGTCCATTGTATCTCCGGGCTAGGAGAAACATAATGTCGGCAACACAGATTAATCTTAAGATATTGAAAATAGGCAGTGGGCGTTATAAAGTACCCCTACTTCTTCTTAGCTAGTTTACAAGCAACGAATACTGGCGGAAAGTTCTGGTTGTTCGTCTACTTATAGGGCTTAGCTTTGCGTGCACA